ATCCCGATTTTGATGTGTGAACAGATATTTCAGAGCATGGCTTCCTGGGGATGTGTGTCCTAGGGACCAGCAGATGGGGTGCTGTTAACCCATTTCATGGCTAGAATGGGTTCTATGCAGTGCTCCAGGAGGTAAGAAATGAGCAAATATAGGGTGAATACGAAAGATGTAGAAAACTCCTTGTGTTTTGACCATCTGGGAGGGGCAACAGAAGGCAAGAAATCAAGCTTAGGACTAGGAAATCTTCATCCATGGTCAAATTTACTAAGTCCTATTCTCAAAGCTCAGTGGATCTTTTCTTACCTCCAGGCCTATGAACACACTGCTCCTGCTGTCTGACTTCTACTTGTCCATTTGATTTTAGTTTAGACAACACTTCCTTCCAGGAAGCCTTCCCTTCCTTGATGCCCCTTACGTGGGCTTGCGCTGGCCCCTCTTTTTCTACTATTTTGGCATCTGTCGGTGTTGCAATTGTCTGGTGACATCTAGACTGCAAGTTTGGTGAAGGCAAGGAAGTGCCTGCCTCATTCCCTCTCCCCGATTCCCAGCATTCATTCATTCACTGATTCATTGATCTGCTCACGAAGACCTAGTGTGAGCCAGTCAAATGATCAACAAAAAGAGAGGTCATTGTGAGGCTTTATCACTCAGAGGGGGCATGCTGGAGGAAGTGCACTGTGATGTCTTCTTTGAGGAAATTTGGACAAGGAAGACAAGAGGATGCATAGCTGCCTCACACTACCACCCCCCACAGGGCATTTTATGCCATGGGAATGAAATCTGGGGATCATTAATCAGGTGGACGGGCGCTTACATTCAGGGAGCTCCTACCACACGCCAAGATGGCTTTCCAGATGCCAACCATGTTAATAATATCTGCCATTCATCTAGAACTGGCTACGGGCCAGGCTACTTCTTGGGCTCTCACATTTGCTCTTTCAGCAACCCTGCTGAGCAGAGATGCTTGTTCCATTTTTTGCAGACGAGGGGCTGACCCTCAGAAAAGTGGGACTGGGCCAAGACTGCATAGTCAGTGAGCCAAATTTTAAAGGCGATAGTTAAAGATCTTTACCATATGTTTAAATAACTGCCAAAGATGCCCGAGTACTGTACTTTGAACATGGACATCACATTGTATTTTTGTCAAAATGTTGGAACTATAGATTGAGTTCGTGAAATTTATAGAAAATGTCAACCCTTACCAGCCATGTGACTGTGGACAAGTTACTTAACCTCTTGTACATCAATTTTCTGTATCAACTGGGAATAATAGTAGTAAGGCCTTTGAGAGGATTAAATCACTGCATTTGTGTAAAGTGTTTGGAATAAGGACTGGTCCATACGGCTAAATAAATGTATGATCTAATTGCAAAGTCAGTCCTCACTGTCAACATTAAGCAAAGTTGACTTACTTCTGGTCAGAAAAGAATGATTTCATCTTTTAAATTCAAATAAACATATTGCTGCGGGCCCTCCTGAGAATCCCTTACAAGATATGATTCTAGCAGTGACAGAGAAGGCTCTGTGCTCACGAAGCCAAGGGCAACACCGTCAACTATTTCTTGCTTTGATCGCGAGAGCCTGCATTTTCTCGTTGCCCTCTGGTACGAATCGTGGGGACTTTTGCATCCGGCCACAGTATGCCGTCCGTGGTAAGGCCTATGAGAGGGAAATCTTCCCTCTGCCAAGGGTGAGGGAAGAGCCTGGGAGGGAAGGCGAGGAGGAGTAGGCTGGTCAGCATGGAGGAGGGTGCCCTCCGGCGGATCTGTTGTGGGAGAGCCCAGCTGTGGAAGCTGAGGAAATGGATCCAGCAAAAGTTGCCCATGCTCGCTCAACCCCTGAAACGTCTTCCTCTAGCCCTAGGAGTATGTGTGCTTCAGCTTAGAGTTCCCATTTGTCCCTGAAGGACAGCGACTGCTAGTGAAAGAGGCTGCCCTCCCTCAGCAAGCGCCAGCATCCCAGGGCATACCAGATGGAAGAGGTCAAATGTTTTCCGTTTTTCCTCCCCAGCAAGGTTCAACTGCAGGCAGGTGCTCTGCGTGGCCGAGTCCTAAGGACCCTCTTGCTACTCCAAGAGTGGCCCGTGGACCAGGATCACTGGCATCACCGCAAGCTTCGAAAACAAGTCCCACCCCACTGAATCACAATGCAAACGATTCGTTCTTCACCTTGACAGCATCTTAGAATCAGTGACTATGGGCAGCTTTTCACAAATCCTAATGCCCGTGGCCTCACTCAGACCATTTAAGCCCGAACTCAGGTTCTGTGCTCCCAGCCTCAGTTTTTAAGCTCCCAGGGCCCGGTGACAGTCACTATCACAGACACGCCTGCAACAGCACTGCCAGACTCGGCTCCTCTCCCCTGGGCCACTGCAGCGACCCCCAGCCCGTTCCCTCCCACACCAGACCCTCCACAACCTGGCCCTGATTACCCTTCTCAGCCTCTTCTCCAAACTCTCCTCCTTCCCCAGGCATGCTTCCAACTTCCCCATGTGCCCTCTTTTCATCTGTCTTCTACTCTGTTTCTTGTCCAAATCCTGACCATCTTTTGAAGTGCATCCTAAATATGCCTTCTCCACCTGATGCCCCCTGCCTGGTGGTGATCTCCCTGCAATATTCTATCAGACTTTCACATGGCCCTTCATACTTTCTGCTTTGGATTCACATTGGATGCCCTCTCTCCCCATCCCACCTGGCCCCCTCAGGCTCAGAGCGGCCATGAGGGCAGAGTAAGGTCGGCTCATCCTTGTTCATCCTGGCTTTTGGCTTGGCACTCAGAGCTACTCGTGAAGAGCTGCACCCCTAGGCGGCGGGCAGGCCCAGGACAACTCCACAGCCTGGAAATTTCAGGCAGGGCTGACAGCCCTTCAGCACTGCAGACCATCTCCACCCCCACTGGGGACTATTTGGCATGGCAATTTGTTTCATTAAATTAAAGCTCTTTTAAAATTACTACTCTAAGGGGAGTGGGCAAAACCCACATTAGGCAAGTTGTTTTGGTCTCTGCAATGTAAAAGCTGTCTGGAAAAAAAAAGTTTTCTATCATTTGTAATAATGTTAATACAGAACTTCAAATGCGGGCCCCCTCCCTCCTAAATAATAGCCTTCCTCTTTGGTGGGATAAGATAGGTTCGCTACCACAGCCAGCAGAGATCTGACCACCAGCTTCAAAGGAAGCACTCTCCAATCTCTCCTTCCAGCTCTCTCTGGCAGCCTGAGCCTGGCCTTGGTTCAAACCCATAATAAATGTTTCTTTAATGCAGAGACTTGCATTAGCATTTAGGTTTGGACTCCTCCTCTGTTTTCCCTTCACGCTATGAAAAGCATTCAGAGATTTGCTCAGGCAGTGAACCAGATATTTAATGTCTAGAAACAGGATGCCGGGAGGAGGGCTCCACCCACCATCACTGCTCCACGTGCCTCTAAGCAGGGCAGACCTGTGTCTTCCTCCCCAGGGACCCGGGGCCCCAGCTGGTGCTTCTTTAGTGTTGGGAGGTCTTCTTCACCTTCACCTCCTGCCCTTACCAGGCACCCACCCACACCTTTTTTTAAATGGAGGGATAATTTACATATAACCTTGTATTAGTTTTATTTCTCCAACATAATGATTTGATGCATCTCGCAAAAATGATCACCCTAGTAAGTCTAGTCAACATCCATCACCATACATATATATAATTATTTTTTCTTGTGATGAGAACTTTTAAGATCTACTCTCTGAGCAACTTTCAAATTTGCCATTCAGTATTATTAACTATCGTCACCATGTTGTACATTACACCCTCGGGACTTTATGATGGGAAGTTTGTACCTTTCCACCCCCTTCACCCATTTTGTCCCCTGCCCCTGTCCCCTACCGCCCAGTCGGGCAACCACCAGTCTGTTCTCTCTTGATTCCACATATAAATGATATCAAACAGTAGTTTGTCTTTCTCTGTCTGACTTACTTCACTTTGCATACTGTACTTAAGGGCCATCCATGTTCTCACAAACGGCAACAGTGCCTTCTTTCTTTCTGAATAATATTCCATCCGTGTGTGTGTGTGTGTGTGTGTGTGTGCACCTCCCCTTTCCTTTAGCCACTCATCCATCAGTGGCACCTGGGCTGCTTCCATATCTATCTGTTATATATTCCATATTTATTATAAATAATACCGTAATGAACACTGGGGTGTAGTCATCTTTTTGACTTGGTGATTTGGTACCCACTTCTTCTATGGCTCTGCCAGCCTATCTATTAGACAGGGTTCTGATATGCATCCGTGTGGGTCACATTTGAAGTTCATTTTTCCTCTGAGATCAGAATTTATACTGACAAGGCTGCAGGTGTATGGCAGGATTTAGTAAAGAGCCGCAAATTTCTGCCTCCGTATCTTCTTAGCACCAAACCATAGGCCTCCAGAGAAATTTGAGAAGGTGTTCCTTCCTTAGTCACATCAATTAAGAGGGAGCATATTTAACAGAGATAGAAATCAGTCTGTCTCTCCATACCTCACCTGGACATGTGGTATTAAGGCAGCACCCCCACGGGGTCCCCAGATTAGACCAGGGCAAATTTATATTACACATTTAGAAGATTTGCTCTAGTGTTAGGCTTGGGACAGGTTGCAAAAGCTGCTGGGAGGTGTCCTGAGATCTTAGGAGCACACAGCCATGCATTTGGCTGAGGGCAAGCACCGCAGAGAGGGGGAGGGGTGGGGAAAGGGACCTGTGAAAGCTGCTTCTACGTTGGGACTTCTTGAGGAGTGCAGTCGGCCTCATCCTGACTCAGGAGAAGCTGGCTGGGCTTTTGGGTAAGCGTGTAGATCTCCAGATCACTGTCCTACTCCCGCTCTACTGCAAGGGTCCACTCTCACACAGAAAGTGCAGGCCAGAGGGGGAAACAATCGAGCTTTCTGGGCCAAACACCAAGAGACTTGTTTGCACATGCCTGAACATTCATCTCGTCAGAGGTAATAGCACAGTCCTCAAAGATCTAAATTCGCAACTGCCCCTTGTTTCCAAAAAATCCTTACAAAAACGCCACCTCAAAGTCAAACAGCCCCTCAGAGATTTCTATTTCAGCTCCGAAATTTCTGATGAGAACAGCAGTTCTGCTACTTATCGGGAAAAGCATGTATCAGACACTTGTAGTAAGAAGAGGAAATGGCTTACCAAATATCAGCGTAAATTCTCCTGATTCCGTTTAATTACACAATACTCGACTTCCTCTTCCTCAGTGAACATGAACAAGCAATTGTCTGAAATTTTAAGTGTACAAAACCAAAGTATTAGTAAATACTAACTAATAAATCCTAAAATTATATATGTGTGCTCTTCATGGGCAAAGACATGCGATTCCGGCTTTCCAGCCCCACCCTGTTCCCTGGAGATTCCAAGAAACCATTTTCCAAGTTCGATTCCTGACTTAACAAAACCACAGGCTGATAGCATTAACTGGTTAGCTTTCCAATCTTTGGCTGCAACCACCCAGGGTAAATTACTCTCTTATTAACACAGGGAGAATAATCATCAAGTAAAAGATCGTCTCTTGTTCTTCACCCATGATTTGTTTCAAATGCATCTATTCAGCCCACATCCAATTATTTTTCACATATGTGAACACTTAGACGTGGGAATACGTCTCTTGATAGCTGTCATTGTGCACTGCATTTCAATAAAAAAAGATTTAAAAGATCATCAAATAAAAATATTTAAAAGTTTAGAACAAATCCTCCTGTTGTATTCACAACTACTTTTTATCTCTTATCATAAGGTCAAGCAATAGTTCTGGCTGTTTTCCCAAACAGACATATTTTATGCGAGGCGTGAGTCACAGCAGCCTGGCTTTCCTGGTTAGGGACAGCCTCCTGGAGTGAAGAATAAAATGGTTCTTAAGTTATTGGTGATGATGGACTGGGAACTAGACATTTATCCAAGTGAAGAAACACAAAATAGGAAAGTGTTGCCTACCAATTTTAAATAAAAAAGAGCTAATGGTCTTAATATGAATGTGTCTACTGAGAAGTATAGAATCGTGGCAGAGCCTAGACACAACAGACATTTGCGAGGAGTTAAATCATGAATGAAATAATTTAAACTCTAGATTAAGATGTGGACTTTGTAAGTGTTTCAGGAAAAAAGAATTACTGTTTTTCCTCCATCTGATGTTTTCTGTGTAGTAAATTTTATGATGGTGATTTCAATAGTGAAGTCCTTTCTTTCCTCAAGTAAAGCAAATACTATTTAACATACGTGGGATGAGACAAAAATGATTGATGTATCGGGTGGCTGGGTGGCTCAGGTGGTTAAGTGTCTGACTTCAGCTCATGTCACGATCTTGAGGTTCATGAGCTCAATCCCTGCGTCAGGCTCCCGTGCTGACAGCTCAGAGCCTGGAGCCTGCTTTGGATTCTGTGTGTCTCTCTCTCTGCTCCTCCCCCACTCATGCTGTCTCTCTCTCAAAAAAAAAATAAATAAACATTAAAAAATTTTAAAACAAATGATTGATGTATTTATATCTAGAGCCCTTGCCCTTTGATGCCCCCATCTGGGAGAGCTTCTTTTCTGCCAGACCACTTAGTGGGACTTTTGTATTTTCAAACCAAGACATCAGGTCAAGGAAGACAGAACCAGGAAGGAAAGAGGAAGAAGCAGGAGGAAAAGGAAAAAACTGGGAAGTCTTCATTGATCTGACTCAGCACTGTGCAAAAGAAATATAACATGAGCAACATATGCCACTTAAAATTTTCTACTAGCCATACTAAAAAAGCAAAAGGAGGGGCACCTGGGTGGCTCAGTCAGTTGAGGGTCCCACTTCGGCTCAGGTCATGATCTTGTGGTTTGTGAGTTTGAGCCCCACATTGGACTCGCTGTTGTCAGCGCAGAGCCCGGTTTGGGTCCTATGTCTCCTTCTCTCTGCCCTCCCCCTGCGTGCTCTCTCTCTCTCTCTCAAAAAAAAAAATGTATATATACATGTATATATACATATATCCCATATATATATACATATATATGTACATGTATATATATATTATATACATATATTTTAGAAAAAGCAAGAAGAAATAGGTAAAGTTAATTTAATTACATATTTCATTTAACTCAATATATTAAAACATTATCATTTCAACTTGGAATGAATATAAAAAATCAGTCAGTTATTTTAAATTTCCTTTTTAAATTTCATATCAAGCCTTCAAAATACAGTGTGTTTTTTGCACTTAGTGCACATCTCCTTTCAGATCAGCCACACTTAAAGTGCTTAACAGCCATACGTGGCTAGTGGCCACCATACTCTGGACAGCACAGATCTAGGTAATTAAATACTAAGAGGAAGAGTAGAAATGAAGAAGAAAGGCCACACGGGCTGTGGGGTTAGGTGTTTTGGCAAGGGCAAGAATTTTTTTTCTTTTTCTTTTTTTTTAGAGAGCACGAGCAGGGGAGAGGGGCAGAAGGTGGGGGGAGAGAGAAAGAGAGAGAGAATCTTAAGCAGGCTTGACACTCAGTGAGAGGCCCAACAGGGGGCTCAATCCCATAACCCTTGGATCATGACCTGAGCTGAAATCAGGAGTCAGATGCCCAACTGACTGAGCCACCCAGGTGCCCAGGAAGGGTATGAATTTTGAAGAAATCTGTGCTGGAGAAGCTGTGAACTGTCAGGTAAAAATGTAGAGAATTGCTGTGAAGCATGTACTTAGATTCCCTTCAGAATTTTCAAAGAGTAAAGAATAAAAATACTTGAGCTATTTTGAAATTAATTTAGATAGATGGTCTGTGTTTCTTGAAACTGTGCCACTTGGTCCTGGCTTTATAAAGGTTTCCTAGCCAATCATACGTGGAAGGGAGGTAAATGAAAAGATGCAGGTGGTTGAGGGCAGAGGTCAGAGCTATATTATTATCTCCATCTGCACAAAGAAGGCCTGTCCCTTATCTGGCATGCGTCACAACCAACCCAGGAGGGCACAAAAATCAATCTGTTGCAAGAGAGAATATCAATTGTAATAGCACATTGTGGTTGTGGAGAAATGGTCTCAAAACCCTCGGGGGAGAGAGGCATGGCCATGTGGTATAGATCCTGACATGTGGTGTAGTGTGGCGTGGTACAGCAGCAGGGGACAGGATAAAGGATGCCTGCCACCAACAGGCCATCCTCGGGGGTTACAGACTAAAAGGGCACCACAATCAGGACATGAACAGGAGAGACTGATGCTCAGGCCTTCACATGCACCTTGAGCCCAAGAGTCATGGTAGCTCAGAACTCTGAACTCATCCTGTGTCAGATGGGAGTAAAAGTCATCCCAAATCAGGGGTGCCTGGGTGGCTCAGTGGGTTAAGCATCCGACTTCCGCTCGGGTCACAATCTCCCGGTTCGTAAGTTCAAGCCCTGTGTTGGGTTCTGTGCTGACAGCTAGGAGCCTGAGGCCTGCTTCATATTCTGTGTCTCCCTCTCTCTCTGCCCCTTCCTCACTTGCACTGGGTCTCTCTCTCTCTCTCTCTCTCTCAAAAATAAATAAACATTGAATTTTTTTTTTAAAGTCATCCCAAATCAGCATGTCAGCATCATTCTGATGGCCATCTTGTGAGATCCAGTGAAAGAAATACCATGCTACCCCGGGAGAGTGAACTACTCATCAGACCATCATCCTGGAACTGGGGCCTGTCCACAGGGCCCCAGGATAACCCCACGGATGTGAGTTCTCAAGTTCCTCCCAGCCTATGATTGACTCTGTAGGTGAAAGAGGGACCTAATGGAAGAAATGAGGACCAGAGCACCTATAAAGGGACTGATGGCTCCAGCCCCAGTAATTTCAAGGAAGTTACTCCAAAGCATGGGGCCACCTGAGGCATGAGGTCCAGGACAGACACTCCACCTTGCAAGACTGAAGGCATCTGGGAGGAAGCTCTGCTAGAGTAAGAGAAAATAAAGTCAGTGCAAAGAGAAAAACAGAGTGACCGCTGACAGAGACAGTCCTGCTGACACTGAACCCTTCAAGTTCAAGCACGGTCACTATCAGTCTTAGCAGCCGACAAACTCCCTTTCTGACTTTAGCTGGTTCGTGTGGTGTCTCTCTCACTTACAGTTTAAAACAGCCCTGGTCAGGGGTGCCTGGGGGGGTCCGTCGGTTAAGCATCTGACTCTTGGTTTCAGCTTAGGTCATGATCTCATGTTTCGTGGGCTTGTGGGTTTGAGCCCCCGTCAGGCTCCATGACTGCTTGGGATTCTGTCTCTCTCCTTTCTCTCTGCCCCTCCCTGGTTCTCTCACTCTCAAAATAAATACATAAACTAAACACACACACACACACAGACACACACACAAAACCAAAGAGCCCTGGCCAGGGTGGAGTTGTTCAGTGCTTTCAAGCCCGGAGTTGTGGTTTCCGTCCTCCTGAGAGCCAGTCTCTCTCCTCTACAGGCCCAAACGTGCACCGGAAGGGCTAAGCAAGTGAGGTGGTAGCCAAAGAGCAGCAGAAAGTCACATCCCTCCCTTAAAAGCAGCATGACAGTGGAAGGGTCATCCCCACAGAAGGATGAGACCCTGGTTTGACCACGAGGTCTTCTCAAAATGCCTCCATGAACAGATTTGTGCCACCCTCCCCCACCCAGCTTAGAGCACCTCAGTGGTTTCATGGCACAGGTAGACTAATCCGTGTGATCTGGCCTCGGCCCACCCGCTTCTTTATTCCCACGCCACCCACTCCCCGCTTCCACTCTGCACCCTTTTAGCCATGTGGATGACTTCTTCCTGTTTCTCTAGCATGCCACGTTTAGTTCTGCCTCGGGGCCTTTGCACTAGCTGTCTCCTCCATCTGGAAGGCTCTTCCCTCTGTCTCCCTTCTTTTGTCCTCAGAACTCGCTTTAAAGGACACAGGTCTTCCCTGACCCTTATCACTCCCTATTCATTTTCATTCCTTTAACAACTGCTGCCATTTGATTTGTTGGTTGGTTGTTATCTGTCCCCTCATTAAATTCGAACTCCTTGCGGGTAGGAATCTTGTCCTGATCACTGCTGTATCCTCAGTATCTAAAAGAATACCTGGCATAGAGTAGATGCTCAGTAAATATTTATCCACTACAGAAACCGAACACACGCAGGCCGTGTGGGTGCCTTCTGGGGAAGGCTGTTCTCTCTGCTCTTTAGCGAAGTCTTGAGCTGACTTATTCATTCGGTGTAAGCAGTCGCTGCTGAGCACTGAGCATGCGCTCTACATAGGCTGCGTCTGAGGTGAGGAGTGGACATGGCGTGCAGACTGATGGAGAGACAGCCACACAGACGAATACGGGACAGTCTGGAAAATGCTGTGACCCAGCTGGGGAAGCAGAGAAGGCAAGATCTTCTGCTGATCCTCAGGCAGCAAAGTCCGGGGCAGCCACAGAGAAAGATCCTTTGGGATGCGTGTGTTTCCCCCTCTTGCAACATTTCACAGATACTAATGATAACAACAGTTCTCCCAACTCTCCCCTCTCCTGCAAGTATGGGTGCATGTGAGAGACACCAGTACGAGCAGTTTGTCTCGGAAGAAGGGGAAACTGCAACACAACTACCAGGGAGCACTTTCGATGATCTCTCTATTGGGTTGCAGATCAACAGCCAGTTAGATTATTTATCCCCCGCACGAGGATTTTGCGTCAACCTGAGTACCTGGTTTTGATGGTGTCTTATAATCTGCTAAATTAGCTCCCTGCCCTCTTATCCTGGCGGTGGACGGGGGTGGTGGGGTGAGGAGTTCTCACATGAGACACAGTGGAGGGAAGCAGGGCCTCCCGCTCAGGAGGACAGCCAGGCAGCAGTGTCCCCACCGGGAGGACAGTCCCTGAGGCCCCAGGTCTTTATCTCACCGACCCAAGGCAGGGCAGGGTTGGGGGAGTCATACCTAAGACCAGCCTCTTCAGACAGCAGCGTGCCAGGCTGCTGTCTCCATGGGTGCTGACTCACCTCTGCCTGCCAGATGCTCACGGAGAATATGGAATTCTGAACACAGGAAGAAACTCTACCTGGAGCAGAGGAGGATCCAGGCCAGGTCCCGAGGTCTCCGCACACCCTGATGTATCAGAAGTTACTCACTCGAGCCTTAGACCTCTTGTCTAAACTTGGCCTAACAAAAGGGTCATGGCTTATTGTCAGAAGGAAGCAACACCCGACTCCTTAGGGCTAAATTATGAATCAATTATAAAAGGGAGAATGGACTTTTCCCTTTTAAAAAGGCTCTGACATCCATTTTCTGCTACACTGAACACATACATGCACACAGGCAGGATGATTCAAACAGACAAGACCTTTGTAAACTTCATGCCCATATCATTTACAGGCCATTATGCGTAAGGAAATCTAGGAGACAAAGAGACAAGCAAGAGACATGGAGTTGAGCAGCCCTGGAGGTATGCAGGCACTCCCAGCACGGAGGCAGGACTCAGGGAGGGGTCTGTAATTTCTGCTTCTTTGGCCTTTAGAGGTGATCCCTCAGTCCAAGGGCAGCCGATTCCTCCTTTCTACAGAATTCCCACTGAATCACAACAGCTGAGAAAGATGAAGAATGTTGGAGCAGGAGGCATACTGGAACTCTCTAGACCAATTCCCTCATTTGTAAACAAGGCAAGAGAATTCCAGAAGGGAGCCCTGCCTTGTCCGAGGTCACACAGCAAATCCATGCTGGAGGCAGGAAGGAGAAGCCGGAGTGCTCGAGTCCCAGCCTGCTGTACTCCCAGGTCACCCATCAAAATACACTGTCTGGGATTGTGGGTTATTTTTCACATGTGCCTGTCTTAGCCCCTTAATGAGACTCTAATCTTTGTTGGCTGCTTCCAGCGCTTTATTCTTTGTGAGCCCTGATAGCTCCTTAATTAGAAGCTTCCTTAGAACTCGAGTTTTTAAATGATGCTTGGTTAATAGCTCCCTAACAAGCCCTTCCCAACTTCTCATGAAAATACCTAAGATTGGAAACATTGGAAACAGTAAAAACATCATTCAGTGAGTTAGGATCAATATTCAAACAAATGCCAGGCAATGAACTGGATTAAAAGTGCCACGTCAGGGGCGCCTGGGTGGCTCAGTCGGTTAAGCGTCCGACTTCAGCTCAGGTCACGACCTCGCGGTCCGTGAGTTTGAGCCCCGCGTCAGGCTCTGGGCTGATGGCTCAGAGCCTGGAGCCTGTTTCCAATTCTGTGTCTCCCTCTCTCTCTGCCCCTCCCCCGTTCATGCTGTGTCTCTCTCTGTCTCAAAAATAAATAAACATTAAAAAAAAAAATTAAAAAAAAAAGTGCCACGTCACTCCATGGACCTCTCACTCCATGAGCCAAGATCCCTAAAACCAGAACCACAGGGCTGACCTGTCCAAAATATCAGGACACCATCCAGAGTGCTGCGTCCATGGGCACCCCTCTCTTCATGTCCTGGGAAATGGGGGTGGAGAAGAATGAGGCTCCACAGCAGCCCAGGACGGGAGTCTTCACAGATATGACATGACAGTCACAGCCTGCAGATGGCACAGCCCCTAGGCAGGCATGCCAGGGCACCGTTCTTTCTACGTTCTCCATGTCTCCACTGCGTCAGAGAGCTATCCAGCGGGGCAGGAGAAGAAAGATTTCAGTTAACAGATATTCAGTAAATGCTACCTGATGGTCACTAGGAGCAAGACCGGGAAGTTGCACCACAATCTATGACTCAACTCCTGGAAAGGACTTTTGACAGACACCACCCCCAATGACAGGGGCAGCAATAAGCCTAAGCCCCCACGACCTCTCTTATGGAAAGTAATGGATCAAGATAGACTTCTCACTGCGGAGAAAGGCTGGAGGGGGAGAAGCAACAACATGAAAATAACATCTGAGGAAAAAGCACTCATGTTTGCAATTTAGAGGTTTTTAATGCAATACCAGACAAAAACCTACCTCCCAACCCTGCATTAGGGGTGCAGGAAGCAGAGCTGAGACCATAGAACCATGAACGAGTAACATGGAGGACAAGCATGGAAATAGAAGAGAATGCAGAGAAGACAGGCAAAGTGATGGAAATAAAAAGGAAGAGGGGTGCCTGAGTGGCTCAGCTGGTTGAGCGTCCAACTCTTGATTTTGGCTCAGGTCATGATCTCAGAGTTTGAGAGTTTGAGCCCTGAGTAGGGCTCCAGGCAGACAGAGTGGGGAGCCTACTTGAGATTCTCTCTCTCCCTCTCTCTCTCTGCCCCTACTCACCTTGTGCTCTCTCTCAGGAAAGGAAGGAAGGAAAGGAAGGAAAGGAAGGAAAGGAAAGGAAGGAAAAGAAAGAAAGAAAGAAAGAAAGAGAAAATGAAAGGAAAGGAAAGGAAAGGAAAGAAGAGGAGAGGTTGTGTCCTCCTTGACTATCTCACCAAATTCAAGAATTATAGAACATCTTAAGGAAGAAACTTGTACAACCAGAACCAAAGCAATGATGAAAGAATTAAAGACAACTTTATTTAGTAAGCAATTTGAAGGGGCTCATCACATTCTAAGGAAAAATAAACTGAAAGAGGGCTGTGCAGAAAAGAGTTAATAAAGCAGACTGAAGCCGTTGCCCTTAGGAAGCCATGCTGGCTGGTATCTGGGAACTTGGCTGGTAACTAGTTCCCTACACTGACAGAAAACTTTGCCTAACTGGAAAGAGTGGCTCACAGTGCCTGAACTGTTTTTACAAATGCTGGGGTATACGCTGACACCTGCTTTCCTTCTGGGAGTCTGGAATTTTGGTCCACGCTAGCCGGAGGGCCTATATGATCAGACGCCAATAAAAAAGTTGAGAATGGAGTCTCTAATGGGCTTCCCTGGGCAGACACATCACACATATGTTGCTCCGTTTTCCTTGCCAGGGGAAGAGTGAGCTCTCTGTGACCCCTAAGAGAAGGGAGAGAGGAAAAAGAAGCCTATATTCTGCCAGACTTGCTTGTGCCTTTGCCCTTATAAGCTAGCTGCATATTCCTATGACTTTGCTATAATATATCTTAGCCACAAGGATATTTCAGGCGGAGTTCTGGGAGTCATTTTGGTGAATTTCCAAACCTAGTGATGGATGGCCTTCAGGACCCATCACACAGGGGTTTCATTTAAAATACATTCTAGCAGGGGCACCTGGGTGGCGCAGTCGGTTAAGCGTCCGACTTCAGCCAGGTCACGATCTCGCAGTCCGTGAGTTCGAGCCCCGCTTCGGGCTCTGAGCGGGCTCTGAGCGGGCTCTGAGCGGGCTCTGGGCTGGTGGCTCGGAGCCTGGAGCCTGTTTCCGATTCTGTGTCTCCCTCTCTCTCTGCCCCTCCCCCATTCATGCTCTGTCTCTCTCTGTCCCAAAAATAAATAAAAACGTTGAAAAAAAAATTTTAAAATACATTCTAGCAAAATATTTGAATGTCAAGAATAATTTACTTTTACATTATAGGCATCAAGGAAGAAAAAACAACTTCTTATAAAGAACATAAAATATTGATTGGCCTCAGACTTCTTTTACCACTCTCTGTGGAGCAGCCTTCAGAGGGTTCTGGAGGGAAAAAGTGGGGACCCCATCATTTTGCAGTCTTTGGAGCAAGGGCAATAGACATTCCTGGACACGTAAGCATGCAAAACAGACTTAGGCTGGTGGCTGAGATCATGAACTCCAAGAATGTGAGAATGGGGAGTTGTGGATATGCACTTCTTTTCTGGAGATCCCAAACTCAAAATCCAGTTGGGTTGCTTTGGTGGAGAGTTCTGCCACTTTACCTCATCTCTTCACTTATTTTCCTCAGCTGTTTTTCAGCTTGTGCAGTTTTGCTGAGGCTAAGAACCTTCTGCCATGGTTGATGGCTACGGAAACTATCAGGTAGTATACTTCTATTCTTAATGATTGCTGAACTCGATGGCCAGGAATAGGCCTCAATTTATGAGACTTACTGTACTGAGGATTGTTGTGCTGGGGAGGAAACCGAGCCACATGGGCACTCCAGAGGAAAGAAGGAGGGGATCGGTGAGTGATGTCTGTCTTGGGGAATCCAATGGAATATGGCAGTAAATGCGTCATTCATTTGTTATCTCTGATCATATACTCAGGATACTGCGATTTAAAAAAATTAATAAACCGAAAAATCTTAATTTTGTCCATGAAAGAATAGTTGGTCTCACAGTGTAAGAAAAAACAGCATTTACATTTCAAGAAGCTAGAGCAATAGTTTTGGGGAAAAAATTCTCCCATTAAATGACTTGGGTCATTTTGTGTGTGTGTGTGTGTGTGTGTGTGTGTGTGTGTGTGTGTGTGTGCGCGCGCGCACATGCGCGTGCATCTGCATGTTTTAACATATTTGGAAAGTTAATAAACCACTCAGATACAATGATTATCTGTCATCAAACCCTTCTTAAAACAGTTTTTGATTTGGACCTCGGTTTCCTGGTTAACTATGCTTTCAAAAGCAATTATGTAGTAGATCTCAACTGTATAAAAGTAACCAGTATGACAAACTCATTGCAAACTGACCGAAGTGTTAATCAAAGTTACCTCTGGAGGGTGGACTTCCGAAGGATTTTTAATTTTCTTCTCGTCTTTATCCTGGCTAATTCTCTCTGCTTCTGCTTGCCATGAGACCCATTCTCCACGTCTCTCGACCTTGGCCTGTGAACTTGGATCTGTAACCTCTATAGGACACAGTGCCCAGGCTCTCTGCTCTGGCTTCTGGTTGGGTTTTGCCAATGAGCGTGTCTGGAATATATTAAAGGAAGGAAAAAAAAGAGAGGCCAAGGAAATGTAACATTGGAGTAACACTGGCATTCAGTGGTATTTCTCAACAGTATGGTAGATCACTCATGTAGATATTTTACTGCTTCTTCCTGTCTTTTGGATACCTTTCCCCATGTATATAAGTAAATGAGGCCATCTATAAAGGTTTTGCAAGTTGGAATCCACCCCATACTTGTTGACCTATAAGATTTCTATTCATTTCCATGGAGAAGAAATTGAGAAGGCATGGAGGCATCTGGATTGAGGACTTGAGGCTGGGATCAGGATGGCACTCCTTGCTTCTGAGCTCTGTGGCAGAATATAGATGATATCTTAACTCTGAACATGTAGAAACTGGGTGCAGTTCTATGCTAAAAAGTGCTTCAAGTCATAAAATGTTAGCTTTATAATGATTATGAAGAAAATTAAGCAACACTTTCTGATATTTAAAGAAAATACATATGAATTCCATTCATAAGGTAAGAAATGGTGATATCTTCCTTAGGAGTTTGACAAATCACACCAAAAAATAAACACATAAACATTTCTTTCCCCTGTAGTTGTGTGATAAGATAAAATAACATAACTGTGTCAGTCTACACCTCCGTTTCAGGATCGATGTGTTATTGGGTTGTGTTTTCCTGGGTAATTAGCTGGTACGGTTTCATTTCACTCTCTTCTATCACTGAGTCACCCACTCTGACATCTCAGTGCTTTAGTTCATGTTGTAGCAAGTTTAATTTTAAGCAACAGGATAAAATCCACATTCAACATGAATGTTTATGTCATATTGCTGAGGAGACAGAAGGAAGTTTAAAAAAAAAAAAGTAAAGGAAGCAGGCACAAAGAAAAAGATCAATAAATCAGCTGCATAACATTTTCAAGCCTCTAACGAAAATGCAAAAACATCCTAAGGTAAACCGAATTGAATTTTATCTTAGGATAAAACTGACTAAAAGCAAGACAAACTGAGATACCTATTTGCAATCCAGAAAGCAGAGGATTAATATCCTTAATCTAATAAGTTTCTGCAAGTCAATCTAAAAATGAATCACACACACAGTAGAAAACTAGGTAAGGAGCATAAGCAGTAAATTTACAAAAGAATAAATTAAAATTGACAATGAATAAATAAGAAAGTTCATTGCTTGATCACTAAAAAAATAACTTAAAAGTTTAAAAGTTAGATATAAATTTTTTAAAATGCTGGGGTGCCTGGGTGGCTCTTGGTTTTAGCTCAGGTTATGATCTCATGGTTCATGAGTTTGAGCCCCGTGTTGGGCTCCGTGCTGACAGCAGAGAGCCTGCCTGGGATTTCTCTCTCCCTCTTTCTCTGCCCCTTCCTGGCTTGCTTTTCTCTCCTCTCTCAAAAATTAATTAATTAATTAATTAAACAAACAAACATTAAAAAAAATAATAAAATAAAAATGCTTGGCAGTTTGATAGAAGATTATAATACCGAATGTTGCAAGTATAATTTTTCTTAAAGGTGATTTGCCAATCTTTCAAAACTCTTTCAGGTGTGTGTGTCCATTCACGCAGAATTCCACTACCATCAAATCACAGGAGATGGGCTTAAAAAATCTGTACTGAGTGATCATCTCAGGATCACAATGGCAAAATCGGGAACAATCCAAAACCAGGGAAGTGGCTACAAAGGTTAAGATAAGTCTGTGCAGCGGGATATAGGCAACTGTAAAACCCATGTGTAGAGGGCTATCAAAAGAATGAGAAATTAGTCCCAATTTGTTGTTCAGTGAAAAACTGGACACACATTAGTCTGTATCCCACACAGATGTGTATCGTGAGGTGGTTTGGAGCTGTGGAATCTGCAGAGCCCAGCCTGCTACTGAATCCTGGCCCCACCATCGCCTTGGGAAGTCCTGGGCAGATTTCCTGCCCCTTCTAAACTGCAGCGCCTTCATTTGTAAAAATGGTGGTAATAAAAGTGTTGACGTAACAGGGCTGTACTATATGAAGCCTGAGAGCATCCAGGCAAAGTACTTAGAACGATGCCTAAATCAGAAGCGTATAATTAGGTCATTAATGTCTTTAAAAACAATGCTGAAAAACATTCACGGAAAATAGACTGGCAGAACACATACTAACCCTTGGTAGTGGGACTGTCACGAGTTTTCGCTTCTTTTTACTCTTCTGGGTTTTGTGCATCAAATGCAGATTACATTTATAATGTTAAAACACACATACAATAAATACGGCTTTTTCAAGAGGTTACCAGGAGTCTTGAGGAAACAGCTGAAAGCCATCTTTCTAGGAAGAAAAGAAAGAAGAAATGGTCAGATGAGGGGGAACCACCCCCACACTCTAGGAAAGCAGATCCCAGCCTCTGGGGCCACTCCCCAGCCTGCCAGGCAGCAGGCCCGGGGTCACCGCTGCGGCCGCTCTGGGGGCAGGCTGCACACTGGCCCATTGTGTTCCATGGCGGCACCGCGGTCAATGAGAAGCAGATGGCCCAGACGCCCTCGCACGCTGTGCTTCCCCTCCTCACACACCTCCGATGCGGGCCGGCTTTGAGCCCCCCCGGCAAGGCAATCTGCTTTTCATTTTATAGGCAGAGAAAAGCTGCAGAGGAAGGAGGGCGGGAGGCCATAGTTTTGAAAGTGTCAGGGGAGTTGATGTAACAATGATTCAATTCTCTCCTATTCTGAAAGGCAAGGCCGTCCAACCTCCCTGGGTGCCTGCCTTGGCTGAGCTGTAAACTCAAAGCCCATCTTGCACTGCCTCAGGCGGAAGCAAGTCGACCCCTGAACCCATGGTCTGGACCCCGCGGCTCTAGGCTCTTAGGACCAGCAAGGGAAGAATTCAAACTGGGGCTTCTTCAGTTTGCATTGTGTACAGGAGCTAGGAAGGAAGGTGGAGGGGCCGGTGGGTAGCAGGCCTTGCACCCTGCAGTGAAGGGAATCATTATAAGCAATGGCAACAAACAGGTAACCATCCTGCACGTGGGGCTCTTCCTTCCCCTTGCCTTGAGGCACCATGCTTTCCTGGGTAGGGGCATGGGCTCTGGAACCAGCTGTCCTGTCCAGGATTTCATCCCAGCTCTCTGCTTACTTGCCGCGTTACGTTAGGCCAGCTACCTAAACGCCATGAGCCTCGATTTCCTCATCAGACAGATGGGCATGAGACTTCTGTTACCACATAGGAAATATCACGCAGGAGATAAACCATAGCAGGTGTCTACAGAGTAATTGGCACACAGTAAGTGTTTGTTAACGACTGGCTATCATTGTTATAATTGCCAGATTCTCGCTGTTTTATTTCCCTTCTCTTCACACCACAGCATAACTGACACCACGGCATGTTCTTGTGCCTTATTTCTTCCCATAGCAGCAACTATTTTCAGTCTTTATTTGAGGCTGGTCCCTGCCTGTGTGCCCCACATGGATCTCCACCTGCAGTCACCAATGATTTATGCTGTCTTTGGGAGGAGTCCGGATTGTTGTATATGATCACTGTGTGACAGTCCAATAAGGCCCTGTGTTTCCCCCCATCAGGCAGTTGTGTAGCAGGGACAACACTCTTGAGAGCCAGATGGAGGCTTGTAGATAGTCCCAGTAGAGAGGCATCCCCCGAAGCCCTAAGATATGAGGGAGCAGGAGAAGAAAGCCCTTAGTGGAGGGTTGCAAAGGCAGGTCTATGAAGAAAAGGGGGAAGCAGTCCTCAGAGGAAGGGAAGCAAACAAGGAGCATTTGACAAGACGTCAGAGAAGGGACAGACCTTCAAAATGCTCAGGAAAGAGAAACAGTTCAGTGGCAGAAAAGAGAGATCTAAGAGAGAGACATAGTCAACACGCAAGTCTGTAAACACAAGAATCATAAAGTCATCAACATGATGGACAAATTACAGGTGTAGGAAAAGAAAAGAGCCAGGGTCTGTGTAGACTGCACAGTAATTGAGATTTTCAGAAAGTGGGGACAGGGAAACTGCATCAAGCACATCCAAATCAGGAGAGGGTGCACCTGCCTGGCTGCTTTCCCCAAATGTGCTAATTACACGTATTTGTTCTCAAATAAAAATAGCTTATTTGTCATAATCGCCAAGGTCCCAGGGTGTGAGAAAGCATCTTCTCAGTGAGCAGGTGGGTAGTCCTGCTTGAATGACAGAAAGAAAATACAAGACGACACAGCAACACCATCACTTTTCATGAAGGTTTTTGGATTGGGTCCTATAGCTATATCTCACAGAAGAAAATGGATCAGGCTAAGGTGAGAAGTTCCATAGACAACAACCTAAATGTCCATCAATAGATGAATGGATAAGGAAAATGTGCTATAGTCAGATACAATGAAACATTATTCAGCCATAAAAAACAGTGAAATCTTGCCACGTGCAACATGGATAAAACTTGAGGGCAATACACTAAGTGAAATAAGACAGAGAAAGGCAAATACTGTATGATTGCTCTTACACGTGAAATCTTAACAGAAACAAAAAACAAAACCAAGTTCATAGATACACAAAATAGACTGGTGGTTGCCAGAGACAGGGGGCCTACGGGGTAAACAAAATGGGTGAAGCACATTAAAAGCCATAAACTCCCGGGGCTCCTGAGTGGCTCTCTCAGTTAAGCCTCTGACTTCAGCTCAGGTCATGATCTCGCAGTTCGTGGGTTCAACCCCTGTGTCAAGCTCTATGCTGACAGCTCAGAGCCTGGAACCTGCTTTGGATTCTGTCTCCCTCTCTTCTGCCCCTCCCCTGTTCATACTCTGTCTCTGTCTCTCTCAAAAATAAATAAACATTTAAAAAATCTATCAACTCCCAGTTATAAAATAAATAAGTCATGGGGATGTCATATACAGCATGCCAACTACAGTTAATAATACCACACTGCATATTTGAAAGTTGCTAAGAGAATAGATCTTAAAATTTCTCATCACGAGAAAAAAATTGATAACCATGTATGGTGACACATGTGGTCATAAAATTATGCAAGTATTGAATCATTATGTTGTAATGAAACTAATATTGTGGGTTAATTAGGCTTCAATTAAAAGAGAGAGAAGGTGGCAGCAAGATTAACATTGTTACTGTCCTTTGTATCAGCCAGGGATAGGCTAGGTTATGCTGCAGTAACAAACAACCCCAAATCTCAGGATCTTTAAACAACAAAGGTTTATTTTTTGTTTATGCCACAGTCCAAGGTGGGTTGGCTGGGGCTTTGCTCTGCATACCCTCACCTAGGGACCCAGGCTAAAGGAGCAGCCACTGTCTCAAATCTTATCGGTCACTGTGGCAGAGGAAAAAAGAGCAACACAAAACACACACACTGGCTCTGAAAACTCCCACTCAGAATTATAGACGTCGCACCTGCTCACATTCCATTGGCCAAAGTAAGCAGTCCTACCATGTGCTGCTCAGAAGGAGAGGAAAGGGTATATGTGTGGACAGCCCTAACAACTACACCAACCACCCATTCCACAACGTACCCACCTGTTGTCACTTGGCTGTCCTCTCCCTCAGCACACACCCTTCTCAATGACAGTCAGCCATCTTTGCCCAGCAGGTCACCACAATGTTTCAGTCACATTTTGGAGGAGAGGATTGGTAACAGAGCTTCCACCTTGAGTCCATAATCATAAAGGAAGGGAAAACACAGAGCAGAACCTCTGAGAGGACCTAGCCAACAACTCCTCGCTTATAGGTACAGGAAACGGGGAGTCAAAAGAGAAACCAAACCACGTGTGGTAGGCAGAATTCGAAGATGGCTCCCAGCCACCCACTCCTTGGTGTACATCCTGCCTGATCTCCTCCCCTTCAGCATGAGTGGGATCTATAAATATGATATCACTCCAATGATTACGTTACTTTACATGGCAAAAAGGGGTTCTACAGATGTAATTAAGACCCCTGGAGTCAACCGAAAGGGAGGTTATCCTGGGTGAAGCTGATTTAATCTGGAGTGCCCTTAAAAGAGATAAAGTGACAGTAGGCTCTCTCCTGTTGGTCTGGAAGAAAGCAAACAGCCATGTTGTGAATGACCTATGGAGGGGGCCACCTGGCTGGAATCTGAGGGCAGCCCCTAGATCAGCAAGGAAGTGGGGACCTCAACCCTTCAAGTGCAGGACTCGAACTGTGTCAACACCCTGAATAAACTTGGAAGAGGATCCTGAGCTCCAAATGAGAACACAGCCTCAGCCAACACCTTGATTTTAGCCTGATGAGACCATGAGCTGAGAACTCTACTTAACCTATGTCCCAACTACTGACTCAGAAAACTGTGCGATTAAAACAAAACAAAACAAAACAAAACAAAACAAAACAAAACAAAACAAAACGTGTTGTTTCAGCCACTGATTTTGAAGTAATTGTTATGCACCAACAGAAAACTAATACACCATGACAGAGGTATGCTGTGCGACTTCCCGCCCCCATTGTGTCTCGGCCCCAATCTATGACCAGGCATGTTTTGCAGCTGGGGAGGCCACCCTTGAAGCTGGCAAGAAAATGAGCTCAAATGAACACCTACTGTTTGTTATCTCTATTCTTGCATTCTTTGCTCCATTCAAGCTAATCTGCCCACGAATAATGGGAATCTTTCAAAAATACAGCTTTTGCCCTTCCCTGCTCAAAACCTACAGCACCTCCATTCTTTTTGCTTGGGACATCAATTCTGAGCTTCCAATCTCAGTGTTCAAGGCCTTCCAGCCCTTTTCTCTCCCTCTCACTGAACACAACTTCTCTATGCCAGGTCTGATGGAATCCGCATGGCCCTTCCCGCCTGCCAGGATTGCTCCCTCCTGTGTTCCACTCCTGTCTACTCCCAGGAGCACTTCCCCTGCCCCTTGCTCCTTAGTCCCCATTCACTTGATGGAGCTTTAACATACCCCCCCCCCCCCCCAGATAAAATAACAGTGACTCCCTCCCTCTGTACTCCCTCACTCTCTGTTCTATCACACCTGGTACAACTGTTAAGCATCCCTGCCGTTGATTACAACCAATAATACACCTCCACGAATATCGCATCATTTAAACCTCTTCCTGCCAAGATTTCAAGCTCTCTAAGGGCAACAGCCATGGTTACTCCAGGTGCTACATCCAGAATCAGAAAAGGCATTTGTAGTCATAATACCCCCTACACTGGACACACAAGTAAAGAGATGAACCAATCGTGTGATTTCCATACAATGGAATACTGCTCAGCTAAAGCAAGGATAAGTTACTAATAACATGCTATCATATGGATGAATCTCAAAGACATTATGCTGACCATAAGACAGGAAAGTAAACATACTGTATGATTTATG